ACACACACACACACACACACACACACAGACAACCCCGTAACAATATGCGTTTTGTGCTGTGTAACACAGCACAAAACGCATAATTAAAATTTGTAAATTAAAAAAAAATTATTTTAACGGTAAGAAGTGTTTCGGTCCATCAAGTCGTAAATTATTTTAATGGTAAGAAATGTTTCGGTCCATTAAGAGAGAGTCGTATACATTACCAAGATCTCTTCAAATCTCGCCCGAATTTCAGGAGTTACCTCTACAATTCATTGCTTCTGGACGACCGGAATTTGCAGCAGCAACAACGGCCACTTTCCTCACCCAGTGCCCTGATGTCACAGCAGGATCGAAAAGACGAGGAGCAGCAGCAGCAGCAGCAATCCAGCTACACAATGTACCCATCAAATCCGGTGAACAGTAGTACCGTTACGGTGACCTGTAGTGCCAGTACAGCCGGAAACCCGTACAGTACCGTGGAACATTCCACCAGCGAACAGCAACATAACGAAACCCTGGCAAACCTGGAACGCCTGACCAATATCGAGCGAACCATCGAAGCAGTCTCAAAAGCGGAGCAATTCAGCGACACGAGCTCCTACCAACCAAGCACCCATCGAAACGGTGATACCTCTGCAAACCGTGACAGTATGAAATTTTTGAAATGGAATATTTTTACTTTTTTAAGTTTTTGTTTTTTTTAATTTTTCTGGTTTTAATCAAATTTTCGTGTATTTAAAAGAAAAAATCTGAAAATAAAGAAGTGAGTTTTTCAAAAATTTTGAAATTTTAAAATTTTGAAAAAGGATGAAAAGCATGAAAAAACTTTGGAAAAAAAAACAAAAACTTAAAGAAGTATCAATATTTTGTGTAAGCAGTTGATTGTTTTGCTTGAATCCTTGAAAAACAGCTACTAATTCAACAATGATTTTTAGATAATTTAATGGCCGCAAAATCATTGAATTGCCCTGCCATCCTGGAGAGGCGCTCGTTCATATACACAGACGGGTTCTTAGAAGGGACAGCGAGTAGAGGAGAGGGGGGGTGGGGGGAGGGGAGGAGGGGATTGAGCTGCTAGTGGCGAGGAGCGGGAAGGGGCTTTTGACCTAGCGACGACTGGAAAGGGGAGGGAAGGAAGGGAGGAGAATATCTCTACTGATGCGACAACGAGTGGGAGAGGAAGGGGGACGCGAAGGAGAGTTTTCTTCAGTTTTAGCTTAAAACCCGGACTTTTGTGGCGCTGTTGTCTGTGTCTGTCCCCCTCCCCTCCGCCCTCCCCTCTCCTTGCTCCTTCGGGCCCGCCTATGTTCATATATGACTTTGGTACAGAACATTTTATACGTCTAACAATCAGTGGTTTTTAGTAAAGCCAGATGGGAACAGTCCACCAATTTTGGGCGTCAAAAGACGCTCGAACGCAGCATGGTCAATGGCACATGGCGCCGAGAAGAGAACTGGTCGAGCTGTTGATGTTGGCGATGAGTTTACACTCCTAGGTACTCTTTTGAAGCGCTTTTTACCCATACTTCAGGAATTCCCCTCCCGCACCCCTTTTTTTGGCCCCCGTACCCTTTTGTATTCAATATCTCTGCGAGATGTAGACAGTCGGATGTTTCCCGAAGATGACAGATGCCAGCAGCACCACTCACTGGTAAAGTTGTCGAGATGGTTCCCTCATTTGCGTCTTTTTCACAAAAATTATTTTGCTCGCTAATTTTGTGTTTATTCATTGTACTTATCTTCCTCTTTCCTTTGCTTTTTCGTGCGCTTTTTAAATTTACACCGCAAACGTCATGCTGACGAGGTCCAGTTGCAGTACCAAGCTAATAGGTCCACGATTTAATGAACCAAGAAACGTTCAACCCTGACATTTTTTTAGATTTTTAACTTTCTCAGCGCTCTTGTCTCCATTTTCTCTCGGTCCATTATCAAGGTGTGATTTTTTGCGTGTAAATAAGTGTTTTTGGGGTTTTTTTTTCAGGCCAATTAGTGGAGAAAAGGGTGCGATCGATTTCGAAGCGTAACCCACGACTTGGCCTAACAGTGCAGAAGAAAATAGACGATTGCATTTTCGAGGCATCGATGGAACTTCTTGAGATCGATGTAAGCTTTGCTTCTTTATACAGTTATTTGTTTGATAAGCGTAATAGATGCCTGAATTGCTCAGGTTATCGACTTGAGGCTTTATTAGATGAAAAGAAAAAGCACCCTTCTTATTCGCTGTATATGAGAGGCAGGAGCACCTGAGAGGTAGCACAAGTGGTACAAATGCCAACAGCAACCACTCGTTGGTAAAGCCATCGATGGTCGCCTCTTTCGAGGACTGCTTACATGTAACACGCGGAGGGCGGATGAAGGCCAGCGCGGCTGCAAAGAGTGCTCCTGTGAG